TCTCCCATCAACATAGTGCTAATCTCTCATGAACACTGCTGTTGTACGCTTATGCAGGGATGATACTCTTACGCGGCGACAGAAGCTCATTTCATGCGAATCCATCTCCCTAATCTCTCTCTCCCTAATCTCCCCCATGAACACAACTGACGTGCTTGTGTCCGGGGATGGAATTCCATTCCAGCTGAGACCCCGCTTGCTTGCCCATCGCCACATATATAACCTTGTTGTTACTGCTCTCTCGCTGGTTCAGCAGTTATACTGCTGGATTGTTTTTTCCACCTGAAGACGACCGCTTGTGTTGCGATCGAAACGTCGTGATTTGTTATTTTTGGTTTTATTTTATTTTTCTACCTACGTGACTTTACCGAAAGAACCAAAGATGGTAGAGGAGATGATGGTGATGATGATGAAAATGCCACTGAGATCTTTCCTTCCCCCCTCACTTCAATAACCGTCTCTCATCCAAATCACACTCTCTAATTCACACTCTGGTGTGCTCTGCCATCCCTTTATAATCCACTGCTGGATGAAACCTTTACCCTCCCCCCCTCCTATCCTAATGCGGTGTCGGTCATATGGAGAATTGGACCATACCTCACCATGGCAGTTTAACACGTAGGCTTTCGCGACTAATATTATTCATAATCAACGTTTTTGGGTTTAGATCGCGTTATTTATAAATGTGTCGTAACCCTCCACCACCCGACACGGCCAATCAGTAAAAAAGTGTCACGTTGACAAAGACAAATAGTTCACTGCTTAAACCACCGGTGTGTTGAAGCGTGAAACCACAACATTTCCAATTTTTGAGTACGACGTTTCGCTGGTAATTGCATCCAGCATCATCGGGCAATTCGCCAGAATGGTGAGGCTCTGCTCTGTCTCCCGTGCCAGTCAGTGTGGATTGGTGAATGAGGGGACCCGGAACTGGTTAAGATAAGGCCCAATGTTGATATTGGTCATGTGCAGGAATCAAACTCGTGTTTGTGTAGTGCAGTGTGCTAACCACTGCGTCGCCGGCCCACCCAAAGCCATCTGACTTCCTAACGAGTCTGGCTGTTTAGGCATTCATCCTCACGGCTTGGCGATGCAACATTGCATGTGCACTCACTGTCGACCGGGTTGATACCTGAGACCATCAACTCTCTCTCCACTTAAGAACCCAATTTGCAATGCATGGAGATGAGTTGAGCGCGATGAGTGGAATGAGATGAGGAGTGGAGTGAGATGAGTGGAGTGAGATGAGTGGAGTGATATGAGAAACGGGGTGAGGTGAGTGGAGTGAGATGAGTGGAGTGAGATAAGAAGTGGAGTGAGATGAGTGGAATGAGATGAGGAATGTGAGTGGAATGAGATGAGGAGTGGAGTGAGATGAGTGGAGTGATATGAGAAACGGGGTGAGGTGAGTGGAGTGAGATGAGTGGAGTGAGATAAGAAGTGGAGTGAGATGAGTGGAATGAGATGAGGAATGTGAGTGGAATGAGATGAGGAGTGGAGTGAGATGAGTGGAGCGAGTGGGGTGAAATGTGCAGTGCATTGGCAGCCTCACTGATCAGGCTCGTAGTCTCAGCCGTCTCGTTTCAGCCAATGGAAGAAAAAAACCCTAATACAAACAAACCGAGTGGCTTCGTCACTGTCTGAGAATCTGAAGAGGAGCGCGAAACGAGGCCGCACTGGAAGCAGCCGCAGCAGCAGCTGTGCTGCCTAAAGAGCGTTGGGCAGGCAGGGGGTGCCTTGGCCACGCCTGGCGGCTCTCGCTCGAGTTGGGGCCCCCTTTGACAGCCACCATGAGATATGTTTTCAACAACAGTGTAAAAGAACAAAACGCTTATTTAAAACGCGGTTTATATTTGTTATGAAAATGCTTTCATTTACATTCCACGTTTTATTTTCATTTAATTAATTAACATAACATTGCAAAGAGGTACTAAGGAGCTGTAGTTGCGAAGACGGAGCACCCCTACAGCGTTAGATGTCCAACACCGTGAACGTAACGACGTCATTGGGACCGTGTGAGATACTTAAATACTGCGGGGCCCCACCTGACCGATTTCCGCACCCCCTGAGGTGATGATGTAGCTACTACGCCACTGATACTGTGGTTGTGGGGGCCGCCGTCCACCCCACCGCCCTCGCTGGGCAGGTGGGGCGTGACGTCCGCCCCTTACACTCCCTCCTCCACCGCATCGATCGGCTCCCGCCGGGCCCCCGCCGACCGGGTGATCGCCCCCCCCGTGCTAGCGCCCTCTCTGAGGGACATCGCTACACTGCTGGCTCACCGCTGCATGGAGTTAACCCACACTCACCCGTGTACACCACAGCCAACACTAACGCAGGGCCGCGCCCGCTCCTGCGGGCGATTATCTCAATGCGCGCTCGTGCTGCGGCTCCGCCCTCACTCTCGCCGCACATCCGCCCACGCAGCCGCTCCACACAGGAATCACAGACACCACACCGATGCTCTGTGCTAACTTGTATTCGCGGCGCATATACACACTCCCTGGCGGAATATTTCACGAGAAGAGCCTCCTGCTGCCTAAGTGCCCAGTCACTCACACGTCCTACCACGTACCTCGAAGCTCGTCCTTCGGAGGGAGAAGGACGAGAGAAAACTTTACCTATCACTGCCTCGTAGCAGCACTCGCTGGCATCACACGGATGCTGCGAGCGGCGCGAGGAGGCAGGACGGCAAGGAGTGGGCCTTGGCGGCCCAGAGTCCGAAAATGGCCCCGGCCACTCTGTTTATTCCCTTAACTTCAAAGGCCCAGGGTGATGTCGTACCGCGCGGCCAATTGTGCGCTTACCTGCGCCGTCCTCATGTTACCGTGTCTCTCATTGCCCGTTATCTGGAAGAGCGTCTGGCTGGCGAACACACACCCTGCGAGTGTGTGTTCGGTATGGGGGCGGCAGTGGCGCTGCGATTCTCCTGACCTCATGCTCTTCTTGCTTAATGTTCCACCCTCAGTTCTTCCCCCAATGTCGTGGCCCAGTGAACCTTTTCTTTCTGCGCCCATACAATTTTAAGCCAATTTAGGGGCACCGCAATGTGACTTGTCCTGCGAGGGTCGACCAATTTCCTGGCACCGGGAAACCATGGGACTTTCCTCCTAGGGACCCTTTCGATGAAAACCCGTTGCGCCAGGCGATGCCCCAACAGGACACTCCGTGTGTGCGCTGCATGTTGGGTGCTCCGTGTGTGTGCTGCGTGTGTGCGCTGCATGTTGGGTGCTCCGTGTGTGTGCTCGGCGTGTGTGCGCTGCATGTTGGGTGCTCGGTGTGTGTGCTCGGCGTGGGGCCAGGGGGAGTCGCGGCACTGGCAGAGTTGCTCCACGGCCGTGGCACCACATGGTCACCACGACACTGATAATGTCGTCACTACGCCACTGATAATGTCGTCACCACGCCACTGACCCCCTGCGTCTCTACTCTCGCCGCGCTCCAAGCCTCGCGCGGCCACCCGTCCGCAACTCTGCGGGGAGACGCTGCTGCCCACGTTTCATGAGATCACGAGGGACCTGACCCCCCAGGGTGTGACTGTGGCCGCAGGCTCCCAGACCGCGGAGCGTGTACCACCATCAACCCGCCCACTGAGGTCTGTTGCGCGAGGCGATTCAATCCTCCACTCGGCATCTTAGGAAGCCACTGAGCGGATTGCCAAACGAGACGCATCACGTTGGGGCGATTGCTCCGTCGCACGAAACAACGAAGGAACCCGTTGCGTCATTTGGCAACCAGTTCAGTCACCGGTCTCTTGTACGATCGCTGCCTCTCCAGGCGGTCGCGTCGTCAGTACCCACCAGCCGTGCGTATGTGTTTGTATGTTTGACACAGTAGGGGGCACAGGTGGTGCATTGGCAAGTCATCTCAGTCGGTCGACCCGTGGCATCTGGGTCTGCCTCATGACCTCCTGCCAGCGGTCGTTCGATAATTCACGTCGCCTGAACGTGCACATAGCCTGGCACACAAGGGCCGTGGTGATGTCACCGCCACTTAGTGGCGAATGTCGTTTGTTGTTGTTGTGCGTTTGTTTATTTGTTTTTGCTCTACGGCGGGTAAACGCTTTCCTGGGCGTCTCCGTGCTCGTGCGATCGTAAAGGTCGCGCTCGCAATGCCTCGGCTCGTAACGAGCAGGTAGTCTGTCTCGGGAGGTTAGGGGGAGTCGGACCGGTTTGTGACGCAGTGGATGTGCCCATCGGGCCCAACAAAAGTTCCAACTCGAATGGAGCATCGAGACATCGGTGTCCCACCTCCCGTTCACAGCCCTGAACCGGTGGTGGCAATTTCGCGCCACGTGCCCTCGGTGGTGCGCATCGACGCTGGACGTCGTCCGTCCCTCCGCGCCGTGCGCGGTCTTCACTGCCGGCTCTCTGGATTATGCGAGCGCCGCTCTGGGGGTTGCTGGGTCGCCGTCGTCGACTCCGTCACAAACAATTCACCTCCCTGCCCGAGAAACTCGAGGACTGCGCATTTGTGTGTGGCCGACAGCTGGCGATGATGCGGGATTGGCGCGGCGCCTATCGTGAAAAGCGCTCTTGCGCGGAAACTTTGTACCCCCCCCCGCCCAACCCAGGATGCGTTCAACGGTCGTGGTTTCGCGTGTGAAATGCGTTCATGGCGATACGCTTGAAAACTTCCGTGCACTCGCAGGGAAAGAGCGCGGTCGAGCAGAACGCGTCGTCACGATGGGTGGTCGAGACTTGACCACGGAGTGGCAGAGCCGCTATTCGCCGCGGGAGCGATGGGACAGTTGAATCGAATCTGTGCAGGGACGATCGTGTCAATCGTGTGGACCGAGCTTTTATATTGGCCACTGCTCGATAACCGATCGTATCAATCGCGTGGGCCAGGCATGATATCGGCCACTGCTAGATAACCAATCTTATCACCGGATTGTAAGACGCACCCCCGACTTTTGCTTTAAAACACAGGGACAAGCCTGCTGCCATTCCGTGCGACTCTTCCTTCACTGCGCGCTCTGCTCACCTTTGTGCCCGCAGGACACACAAGATGTACTACCAGTGAGCGAGCCAGCCGGCTGGGGCGGGTGCTCATGGATGAACGACGGCTCGGGGCTCGCTCGGCCCCTCGCTGTCGGTAGAGAAGAGATACGCCGGGGCACACGACCGGAGAGTTGAAAAAATGTACCCTCCGTGACAATGGAACGGACCACAACTCCTCAAGGTGTCCCGAGTCCCGTGTTGAGCATCGACGTTCGCTCGCTTGGCGTTGGGTCGAACCATTATGTCTGTAGGGGTGTTTTATTTGCGTTGCTGGAAGTCGCTAACAATCGCCTTTTACACTTCCCTTACCCCGGCCTTCGTTGTCCGCTCCACAAATTCGTTCTTTGTGTGTTAAATTTTTTTTTATATATGCACACGTAATGTAAACACATTGTATTGCTTTGTATGCAGTATATATTTTAAAACTGTCTGTGTGGTCTATTCATTATTCATATTTGCTGCATTATTTAAGAATCGCATCGGCCGAGTGTTGTGCGCGCAGAGCCTTAGCCCGGCCGCATCAATTGGCTTGCACAGTGAACGCTCAAAACGTCATTTAAACAGAGGAACGATTTCCTCTGCGCATCAATACTGCCGGGGTTTGTTTGTGGCGATTAAGTGAAACTAATTATACACACACACACACACTGTCACACACATCGATGAGCGCACGCCGATACGCACGCACACACTGACACACAAAAGCAGAAAAAAAGACACACACATAGATGCACAAACACACTGACACACAGATAAGACAAAAATCCCCCGGCACTAAACTACGACACTTATTATTTTACCAAGTAAGGCCCACTGAGCTATATAGCTCTTTTTCAGAAGCGACCTGGCCACACATATTAGAATTCACTCGTCTGCAATTGTTTAGACGTCGTCTGCTTCACAAATGAAATATGTTGTTTATTATGGATTTTGATGTGCTGAATTCAAATATGACAATTAAAACAATTGATTGGCTACTGCTCACAGGATATTTATGTTTTTACATTTTACGTCTTGTATATTGTGTAGATAGTGTCTTACGCATAAATTGTAAACCTTTTCACGTGTTTATGGTTGCTTTACATGATAACATGTCACCTGTCCTGTTCATGTAACACTTTAAAATCAGCAAAAGGGTTATATAAATAAAATGTATTATGAAACAAAAGGCAACAAACGATTATGTATATATAAGTACATAGTTTAGCTTCTTGGCTTGTCTCTTGTATTCAATACATGTAGCATCTCGTGTCACTGTCCAGCAATAGTCTGCAAGCATTGATGAACTCCATTTGCCCTGATAGCGTTTCCCCATTGTCGCAATGTCCTGGTGACATCGCTCGCCATGCTCGTCGCTCGCTGCTCTGCAGTTTGGTGGGAAAAATCGAGATGAGATGCCTTGAGGTTTTACACCAACTCCCTGTAGTTGTCTGCTTTGTTGTTTCCGAGAATGTGTTGACACTTAACTGGAAGACTTTCCATGCCGTCTTTTCACTGCCATGCAGTGCACTGTAAAATGCATCATCTCGAAGAAGTTCACGAATTTGAGGACCAACAAAGACACCTTCCTTCATCTTAGCTTCACTTAACCTTGGACATTTTCCACGGAGGTACTTGAAAGCTGCTTGTGTTTTGTCCATGGCTTTGAGAAGGTTCTTCATCAGACCCAGCTTGATGTGTAAGGGTGGTAACATAATCTTCCTTTATTCAACAAGTGGTGGATGCTGAACACTTTTCCTCCCAGGCTCCAGCGACTGTCGGAGTGGCTTCTCCCTTGCGACTCTTTGGCTGCCCCCTTGCAGGCAGCCATTAAAAAAAACGTAAATCTTAAACATGATTGATCGTAAAGATAATTGATGAAATGTGGCAGGGAATGTCGTGGTAACAACGTGTACAACAGTAAAACTGTGTTGTTAAAGAATAACTACGGGAGACAAAAAAACTAAACAGACGCAGTTTATTCCATCACATATTTTGTTTATTTAAGTCAGAATGTGTTTGTCATCTGTGTGTATACCAAAGGCTGTGTTTGTGTACAATCAGCTGTGCGTGCGATGCGGCTCTCGAACTATTTTGGTCAAACACAAAACACAAAAAAGTGTCTCTTCTTCTTTTTTGAAAAATTGCCAATTCTCTGCTCTGGAGAGTCACCCGATCCCAGATTCGGGGCGCAAACAAAATGTACAATCATGAATTGTACTTGAGGACACGAAACCTGGAAACATCACCAAGGAGATAAAACAGCGAAGACTGCAATGTCTATAGAGCCCATCTAAGAATGTAACAACCGCGTCCCTAGCATTGCCCTGAGATGGACGACTCCGGGCAAAAGAAAACCGGTGGAGGCCAAAGAGCACCTGCCGAAGAACCGTCGCCGAAGATCTTGGTTAGGTGAACCGCAGGTGGGGTGACGCACAGCATGGAGCCAAGGACAAGCACAGATGGAGAGAGCTCATTGTAGCCATATGTCCATCGGGGATGAAGAGGAGTAAGTAAGACTCGGGGCACATGTTTCCTCCCAAACGTGAGCCGTATTTTAACCAAATGTCATCACGAAGCTGCTCACCACATTATTATTACTATTAATAACCGCACACGGCACGGTTCAAAAACAACCCGGGTTAATTCAACTCGATCTCCCGGTTCTGAATCTGGTGTCAATTTTCACGTCGGATATGAGAATAAAACCAAACTAAAATATAACAACAGCAGCATCAACAACAAAAATAATAACCTGTCGCAGACGCTGAGACCCAATAGGAAGAAGGCACGGGTGGTTCACGATCTTTCACGACCTCTCGGAGTGATGCCCACCGCGAGACGCGCGGTTATTGCTCGCGCCCAGAGAGGGCCCGGTCCAAGCATCGAGAGAGGTCAAAGGTCTCGCTCCTTGTGGCCGCCTGTCCACTTAGAGTCTGCACAGTGGCCACACGCCGCTGCGCTCGGTGTTTCTGCTCAGGAGCGGTCACCTCCACTCAACTTGACCTGTTCTTTCTGCTCCCCTTGGGAAAATCGAATCGATGGCATTCCGTTTGTGCCCGGGGCCAGTCTGGCTGCGGCTGTCAGCTGCCATTTTTCTTTCTATCAGCAGCCGCTGTCCAGGGGTCACGTTCAGGCGAGGCCGCGCGCCGTCGCTGTTTCTCTGTCGGCTGTGGTAACCCCCACCCCGCCGCTCCTGGAATTGACGGAGTCTCTGCCTCTGTGCCGACGTTGGCAAACCGAGATGGGGCGGCGTTCGCCTCTGCCTGGGTGGTTTATTGGCGGTTTTCCCATTGTCTCAGAGCTAAGCTGGGTTGGCAAAACGCGAGAATTGGACGGTGGTGGCAGGCAACAGCACCTGAATTAACGTTTGTCCTGCGATTATCTTGTCTCCTTTCGTGTATAATTGATGGGTTTTGTGTTTCACCAAAGCTGCAAACGCACGCTCTTTAATTTCACAAGGAAAAAAAATATTGTATGTGGCCTTGTTATGCTGACTCTGCTGTGGAACGTATGAGCGCGTATGTGCGCAGACCGATCATCTAAACCGGTCATGGATCTCCCCTAGGTCGACTCAGCCTCAAATGAGTACTGTACCTGCTGCGGTGTGTCAACATCGCCACTGGGGAGACAAAGGTGACCGGACGTGGTAATGACCACCCAGCCCCTCGTGTGCCATGTCGGCCTTCATTGGATGTCCGCGAACAGCACTTGCCCCAAAAGTCTGTTAAGGCCAGAGCTGTCCTCTAGGACACTGCGAATCGGGGCGACTGCCCCGGGCCCCATGGTTTTTGGGGGGGGGGCGCTTCGACGTCACGGTGTCAGATGTAATACTTCCCGTTTAGCTTGAAGAGGTCGAGGGGCCCACACGGTGGCATTTGCCCCGGGCCCCGCACCCCCTATGGACGGCCCTCATTCTAATGCCTATATGGGGGTCGTTGTCTTTGTGCAGACCGAGGCCATGCGAAACACAACGTTCTCTTTACAACACCAGTAGGGTATATAATTATACTGTAAAGACAAGTTCATGTTGTCGAGGAGATGTGGGAGAGATGTTATCGACACGGTCTTCCACATTGTGGCCCAACGTCCATTGCTTTCATCTGAATAGATCCCATAACTGTGCCTTCGATGTGGTCGTTCATGTTGACAACGTTCATGAGCACCGTTGCCCTGTTACAGACAGAGCACTGCTATGTAGAGTATGCTTAAAACATACACTGTTAATTTACAAGCTTAAGGTTGACAATGAACCAGAAAGTCACCGAACAATACAATAAACATTATTTGAAAGGTCACGGTGGTGAGATGTTAACTACCTCGCCTGGCATACAGGAGGTTGTGGGGTCCCTGACGCTTGCTGTATATTTGGAGTTTACGTGTCTCTCTCCCCGTAGTCACGTGGAGTTTTCTCCAGATCCTCCGGTTTATCCCTCCACATTTAGAAACATGCGTTTAGAGTATTTGACTGCTATACATTTCCATATAAGCCACTTCATTGGGCTATCATTTGTAGAAAGGTCACTTCTGAATAAGAACTATGCAGCTCAGAGAGCTTTACATGGTAAAATAAAAAATAGTTTAGTTTTAAATAGTTTAGTTTATTTATTCAACCATTTTAATTATTGATGATTGTTTATTATGCGTGTGGGAGGAAATGGAAACACTCGCAGAAAACCCATGCGTGCGAGGAAGCAACACTATCCCTGTGTAGTGAGTTCAACTGAGCCGCAGACGTAGACTTGGAGGCAACACATTTATTTAACTGCAACACACGGGTAACTTCCCCTTAACAGAATAGCAACCTGTGGTGGTGACCACCAGGTTAACTACACTAATTATAACGTAACTAGCTACTACGGACCGGGATCAACAGCTCGGGTCCAGGTCCACGTGGGGGAGACTTGTTATACGTAGAACGTAGACGAAGGTTTCTTTCAGGATGAACAACAACAACCCTGGTCCCTCCGGGGCACCGCTTATATTCTCTTCCAGAATTCTCGGGAAGGATCTGGATCACAACCACGTGACCCCCCTAGCCCCCATCTGGGGCCCCTTTGTAGACTTAACTGGTCACGTGTCCACTCGGGTCAACCATAGTGCCATGGCCTTTAGTAACCTCATTCCTACGGCCGGCACTCCCACACCCTATCCTGTAGGATTGGCAATGCACGCCAGGCGTGGTGCCATCCAGCGCTATCAATCAGCACTCACTAAGCCCCTCTAGGGCCGGTACTGCACCCACACCATCGTGGTGTGATTACACCGCACGCCGTGCCTCCCTAGGGCCGGCACTGCACAGTGACATCCCGCGATGTTACTACAGCTGTACAGTTGGTAGCAGATGACGGTAAGTCCACTTGCTATACTGCCTTGTATGTATGTGTGTATGTTGAACCTCTTTCACACCGTACGTAGCCAACCGTGCGAATCGGAGGTACGGGGGAAGGACAACAAACTAAACACAAAAGGCAGTTCTAAAAAAAAAAATCTATATTTAAAAGTGCATAGTTCCTAATGTCGGAAGGAAGAGCGTTCCAGACGGCCGTAGAAGCGCATCTGAACGTGAGCGATGCAGTGACCGTCTTTGTGCAAAGGCTAGCCAAAACCGGCTGCGAGGATGACCAGAGGTCGCGTGATGGTTTATGCTCCGAGACGAGATCAGTGATGTCGTCCACAACACCCACGGGAAGAGATTTCACAACATCTGTGTGATCCACCAACCATCACCTTCAAAGTGCTATTCAATCTTTCTGTAACCTATATTGTAATTGCCCTGTGATCAGTCCAAAAAATAATCTGCCCGAGCCAACTCACGCTACGGGGAGTTAATGATTTTACATTGATTAATGTTCGTGCAATATTTTCCATTTCTCATGTAATTATGACACGGTGGTTTGTGTCCTGATTTATATTCACTTAATTGCTGCAACTTTATTTTGTTGTAATTTTGGTCACTTTGGTGACTCTAGGTCGGTCACTGCATCGCACTCAGATGCGCTTCTGTGGCCGTCTGGAACGCGCTTCCTTCTGATATTCGGAAGCCACTGGAGCTATGCACTTTTAAATCATCATCTAGATAGAACTGCATTTTGTGTTTAGTGTGTTCTCCTTCCCCCGCATCTCCGCTTAGCACGGTTGGCTACGTACGGTGCAAAAGAAGTTCAACACACATACAGGGCACTCTTGCAAACGGTTAAACAAAGAAAACTTGACCTCAAACGTGAACTCTGAACACAGCTTTAACTCTTATCCAAGTCAAATGAAAGGGACGAGTTCGCTACGGACAGAGCTGGAGAACCGTCTCCACCACCGAATAGGACTTTTAAACAACTTTTGGCGAGCAACCACACACCACAACAACACACAAGTCACCACTGCACTTGTACCAGGCTCGGTGCACCTTGAGGCGATCACATGAAGTGTCGAAGGCTCACTGCTGGCAGGTCACGCAACAGACCAAGGTGTCACACGTTGACTGAGATGACTGGCAGATGAAGCACCTGCGCTCCCCACTATATCACCTTGCTGCGTTTTAGCCGCCCGGTACTCTGATCGTTTTTTTAGCCTCGCTCCTCTTGCCCTCCGTTGTTGCCGGGGGGCGACTGCCTTCAACTGCTCAGTAGCGTCCTTCACGAGCCTCCTCCTCCTCAACAGAGGGTGATCTTCACACCGCTGATACCAACCAGTCTTCGGCAAGTCCACTCAGTTCCACATACTTCTGCACCACATCAGTTAATCTCTTCTCTAGCTCATGCCGCGCCCGTTTTGCCCCCTCTAACAGAAGCTGATTGGGCATGCGGTGGCTGAGAATGTGGGCTACGTGACCCAGCCAATGCATCCTTGCCTGCCGGAGGAGCTCACTGGAACACTCACTTGGATGTTGTGACAAATAGCGCTGATTGTTGTACAGCAGCTGCAACTGCAGCTGGGCACTTAGCGTACACACCGTTGAGGAGATACACGGTGTGTATGCCGACAGGGTGGAGGATCTGGGGCAAGGGTCACGGTAGACCTCGTGGGGAAGCCCCTGGAACCCTCTGGTGGGTTCCAGAAGAGAGGCGTGGCGAGGGCGCCTTCGCCCGATCATTGCGTGACCGAACAGTTGTTGGCTGTCCCGGTCGACGCCATTGGTGCAACGCGGACAGGGCCGTGTCTGGGACGGGTCGTACTGCAGCGTGGTCGTGAGAGAGAGGAGGCCCGAGTTGGTGGCGTGAACCCGACACTAAAAGGGGAGGACGGTGCCTCCTGCGACTACCTCGTCTCCGACTGAGTGTGTGTGCGACGCACGCCATCCTGCACGCACTACACAAGCCTCGAGCGAGAACGAAGAAGAGACGCACGACACTACACGTACATACATCTCAGTCGCTCATACCACGACAAGAGGCTGCTTTGACACTTGCAGGGCCTCATCATGACAGTAATGTCATCAGCAAATGTCTATCCACTGCTGGATGAAGGCCTCTCGACGACGTTGCCATCCTTCGGGGTACGCTGCTGAAACCACCATCTTCGCTGCGTCACGTGAATTGACCTCGCCGTGCTTGTGAATGAGACATTTGGTCTTCGGCTGCGGTTCATCGTTCGCCATGATCAGCCCACTGCTGGATGAGGGCCTCGGGTCGTCTCGACGGTCCACGCGTTCTCTCAAGGACACGAGTTTGTTGGATGGTACTTGCCTGACCTCTCGTGGTAAAACACTTTAGTGCCTGATGGGAAGAATGACAAATAAATCCAGAATATTACTGTTATTCTTTAGTTGTTATTTGGAGGGACAGATCTGTGGGTGTCTGTCTGCTTATTTATGAAGTGCGTGACAAATATGATGTGAACACTTTATTCCAACCACAGTTCAAACTTACTGGGTAGTTCATTCCATCATCGCCATAAATCATGCATGATCAATCCACTGCCGGATGAGGGCCTCCACAAGCCTTCCGCCACCAGACCCACCCGAGCACATAGGACTGTACCAACCCAATGGATTATGCGGGGTGAAATATGTCCATCAATGCAAATAAAATACAATCTCAATCGATCGCATTTAGGTACCCACCTGTATTACAATTCCTTCAGTAACAGGCGAAGCCGTCATGAAACCCAGTGTATGCGTTAATTGAACTCGACTTTAGCTTTGGCTATCGATATGTTGATCATTCAAACACACATGTTGTGAAGAAGAGCCGAGGCCCGAAACGTCACCTGTGATGTATTTCACTTTAAGGCCACACACACAGTGTGATGATTGGCACACAAACATAGGGTGTAGTTGACACATTGTAATGATTGATACAGGGTGTGATTATTGAGACTGCGATTATTGATAGTGATTATTGACACACACACTGTCATTATTCCACGTTGCGCAAGCGTAGATAATGGAGGTCATAAATGTGGCAGAAAAAGACCCGAAGTTTCATGTGGAGCGACAGGCCAGGTAGCTGCTACACAGCGTTACGCTGCTGATCAAACGATGCCACGCGACAAACCAGAGCTGGTCATAAGCACCCTACCCTGGTACGGAAACGTATCCACTCTCTACACAACTGCCCCATCAGTGATGGGGTGGAATTTTTTTATGACGCAATATTTCCCAGGCAGGCGATTAGTTTTGGTGGGAATTATAGTAAGGCCCTACCTCCCTCTTCGTGGCACGCTCCAGGTTCAGCAGCAGAAACTCCAACTCCTCAAAGATCAGCAGTCACCAGATGATCAGCATACGGTGCATAATATCGTTGACCAATAGATAGCAATCTCTTAATAGAACTCGTGTATCGATCAGCGTCCAATTGTATATGTAGCAGATACCAGTTCCTCTGGTACAGCCATGGGAAGCTTTACGAACTACGTGGTCGAAAAAGACGTTAAATAATAGGGAGCCAGAGGTCACCCCTGTCGCACCCCAAGGTGAACGGGGATTACCGGCCACGTAGCTTTTTACCCGGGCCTGCCCACCACCACGAAGGTCCTTAATGGTTGTGAGCAGAGTCAGGAATCCCAAAAACACGAAGAACAGCCCTGGCCTACTGAATATAATATTTATATATACTGGAGGAATCTGATGAGCTATAAAGCTTTTTTCACAGACGTCCAGGAGGGGCGGGTCAGAAGGTTACAACAATGAACAATACAACAAGGCAATAGGAGTGCAAATTAAATAAAGGTAAGCGAAATAACAGATTAAAGAGGCTTATGATCGTATCATAGGCTGTGACCAGGTAAATAAAGCAGAGACGGAGGTCCCGTTGACATTACTTACACGTCTGCTGTAGCAGACGGACAGAGATTTTTGACACACGCGGTGTGATGGACACACGGTGTGATTATTGGCAGTGTAATTATTCATACACACCATTGATTATAGATACATTGTGATTATTCATACACACCATTGATTATAGATACATTGTGATTATTCATACGCACCATTGATTATAGATACACTGTGATTATTCATATACACCATTGATTATAGATACATTGTGATTATTCATACACACCATTGATTATAGATACATTGTGATTATTCATACACACCATTGATTATAGATACATTGTGATTATTCATACACAACATTTATTATTGATACATTGTGATTATTGACGCAGTATGACTGTGATTGACACATCGTTACGTAATTGACACACGGTGGATTCATCGATTGCTTTCAATCGATAAGCGCTGTGTCGCTCGATCACCGACCGTCCAGCAGTAATCGCCTAAATCAAATCGATTCAAAAATCGATCGTCTCGACACCCACCGCTTCGTTATTCGCGTCACAAGGCACGCGTCCTCTCCCGCGCGAATCGCGGGCACCGATTCCTCGCACTTCGGCACCTAAAATCGCACAGCGGATCGATTCTCGCCCCCGTCAACGCAGCCTCGACGGTGGCGCCCACCCCCCCGGAAGAATCGATTCGCGGGATCGTTCGCACAACGCGGCTAAGTCTGCGGAGTTGGTCGGATCGATCCGGAGGTGACGTCACGCGGCGGCTGGGAGACGACATGGCGGACAGCGCGAGCGAGAGCGACACGGACGGCGGTGGCGGCGGCGGCGGCGTTGGAGGAGTCGGAGGAGGTGGAGGAGGAGGAGGAGCAGGCGGCGGAGGTGGTGGTGGTGTAGGAGGTGGTGGAGGAGGGAAGGGCGCCCTCCTGCAGCGCCTCGAGGAGCTCGGCAACCGCATCGCGTCCCTGCAGCAGGAGAACAAGGTGCTGAAGATCGAGCTGGAGACGTACAAGCTCAAGTGCAAGGCGCTGCAGGAGGAGAACAAGGAGCTGCGCAGGGCCAGCGTGACCATCGTGAGTCGCGGGCACGGGCGGCGGCGGCGGCAGGAGACGACGGGAGATGGTGGGGACCGGGGTGGGAGGGGATGAGGTGGAGATGATAGAAGCATGACGGAGGAAGGGAAGATGATGATGGTGGTGGTGATGGTGGTAATGATGGTGGTGATGGTGGTGGTGATGATGGTGATGGTGGTGGTGCTGGTAAGGTGATGATGGTGGTGGTGATAACGGGGGGGGGGGGGGGGGATGTGAGAGAGACGTGGGATGGGAAAGAAGGGAGGTAGAGAAGCGGGGGAGACGTGGGATGGCGAGGGACGAGGTGTAGAGAGATGATAGGGGTTGAATGCAAAGATTGGAAAGGGAAATGAGGTAACGTGGGGATGGGGAGGGATGAGGGCGAAGGATGAGAAATTATGGGAGACGGATGGAGGTGTATTGGAGAGATGTAAGTGAAAAGGGGAGAGGGATAAAGAGAAATGTGAGAGAGGGATACGTGGGGGAGATGAGAGAGGAATGGAGACGTGAGAAGGGATACATGGGAGAGAGATGGAGAGAGGATGAGAGAGATGCAGTGGACAGCAGGGATGGTAGAGAGAGGGTTATGATAAGGGACCAAATAGATGGGAGAGAAGACGTCGGAATTTGAAAGGAGATGGGAAAGATATTAGAGAGACGAGAGATGGGAGAGGAAATGGAGAGCGATGTCAGTGGGGAGAAAGGAGCAATGAGGGGAGAGATATAATTTTGGGAGAGAAGAGAGGGAGGTGAGGGTGTTCAGAAAGGGGGAGAGTCGAGCCATGGAAGGGAGAGGTAGGAAGAGTGGAGAGATTGGAGGAGTGGAAGGAAAAGTGGGGAGATGGATAGGTGAGATCCTATTTACTATTTTATATTTGTATTTTACTGGGTAAGGCCCACTAAGCTTTTGAGCGTTTTTTCAGAAGCGACCTGGCCACAAATGATAACCCAATGGCGTGGATTATCACGTGGAAGTTTCTAGCAGCCAAATACTCTAAACGCATGTTTCTAAATGTGGAGGGGGAAAAACAGCAGGCATCAGGTGTATACCAGGCGAGGTAGTTAACATATCGGTTAACTGAGAGGAGGCAGAAGAGAAAAGAGGTTGAAGTGAGCAAAAGGAAAGAGCAGAACTGGGCCCTACCCCTGATTATCATCGTAATCACATCTCAATGTGACTCAGTCATCACCGTTACCCTGGCCTTCGGACGGTTATGCCTCGAGCTCACAGTTCTCGCTCCGTAAGATGGCTCCAGTGTACGCTTGCTTGCCTGCTTTCATACAGATGAGATAATGATTACGATTTATCTAGCGGTATGAATGTTGGCACACTAACCGGTAAGCCAATTATGCGTTAATGAATGGCTATGGACACCATTGCCTGCTTGGCTGTGTTCATATACTCGCCCTGAGTAGGTCAGCATAATATAAACATTTGTCTGCAGACGTTTCGCTGCCCTTTGCCTCTTGCTAAGGTCACAACTTGTTGGGTTTTTTCACACACTCCAAAGCTCTAGTTCTATCACATGTGAACACCCACACGTTGTGGTTCGATGTTGGTGCCTGGCGCCTTGTCAACCTGCTTCCACCTGGTTCCCCTCCTCCCTGCACATTGTGCACCACGCACAAAGACAACAACCGCTGGTGTTCCACGAAACCACAGGAGGTCACGGGGCGAGACCCCAGGTGTTATTATGGCCCGACTGAGAGAGTGGCCTGACAGAGGAGTGGTCGGCACCTCGCACAGACGTCCATCCCACCCGCAGCCTGCCTCCCAGCAAGGAACAAGCAGCTCGGCGCGTGACTCTCCCTTGTGAAGCGCGACATCTGTCCGTGGCCGCCTTGTGTTGCGCAGAAATGTTTATAGGTTTTAAACAAATGCTCGCCACGGACTGCCGCCTGCCCGCTCCATGCATTTTCAAACGTGCCACGAATCTGACTCATCATCGACACTGGGCCTTGCTCGCCCACACAAGTGGGTTCGCTCGACAGGGCTCAGCCGATGCTCCCCGTTTTCGGTACGAAGAAGAAGACCCGGCTCGGTGGATCAGTTTCTATCGAAAATTATTCGACTCAATTAGAGCACAGAGATCCATCACATGCCCCACCCTCCCTCCCCCTTCCCCACGTGACAGCATTTCCCTGCCCTGAATTAACCACCGGTAAGACTCCTCTCAGAGTAAAAAAATTGACAGTGCGGAAGCCCTCGTCGCGCTTCGCACAAACGTTATCGCGCTCGGAGCTGCGCGTGCAAAGTGAATAGCCGGACCGGGATTCGGTCAAGTTGCAGCCGTGCCAGTGTGTAAAACCGACAGACAGGCACGACTGTCTGTCCGATTTACACACTGGATTTATCCCGGCCCGTGATTGGATGCCCCTGTGCCGGCATGTGTCCGTTTTTTTCTCTGTCGTTGTGCCAGCGGTGGCTGTGGTGAGCGGCGTGTAGTGGAGTGGGTCATTGCGAGCTCATCTCGCCCCGGTCTTTTTTCTGCTCGTGCGAGCGGAGCCAGCCGTCTGGCTCGCTGCCGACTCATCATAAATGTCGTAAATTCTGGTGGAGCCCCGGCGGTAATAACTGGTGTCGACATATTTACACCGGTGCTGAATTTAAACTGGCAATGTACTCGTGAAAAATAATCAACCGCTGGCAAAATCTCAGTGTAAAAAATCGAGAGTGCCGCTGATGGATTTGTGGAACTTTAGCAACTTCCAAATGATTAGTGAGGAAACGTGTTTGGTGCGTGTATGACTTTGTGCGGAAGTGTAGCGGTCAGCACGCTGCACAACGAACCCGGTGACCCGAGTTCAATTCCCACCCAAGGCCACCAACACCAGTGACGATTATCTGAACCGGTCCTGGGCCTCGCCTCGGTCGACTTACCTTCAAATGACATCGCTCTCCATTTCCTCTCCCATCTCTCGTCTCTCTAATATCTTTCCCATCTCCTTTCAAATTCCGACGTCTTCTCTCCCATCTATTTGGTCCCTTATCATAACCCTCTCTCTACCATCCCTGCTGTCCACTGCATCTCCCTCATCCTCTCTCCATCTCTCTCCCATGTATCCCTTCTCACGTCTCCATTCCTCTCTCATCTCCCCCATGTATCCCTCTCTCACATTTCTCTTTATCCCTCTCCCATTTTCACTTACATCTCTCCAATACACCTCCATCCGTCTCCCATATTGCCACTGCAGCGACTGCAGTCGGGCATGGTACTGGCCACCCACCCCCTGGTGTGCCATGCTGGCCTTCATAGGTGCTCGTTAACAGCACTTGCCCCAAAAGTCTATTGAGGCCATGGGGGGGATCTTTGTCTTGTCTTTAACGTGAAATAAGTTGGGGTGAGTTAAGGTTAGAGAGAACGCATGAACACCAAACATTTTGAAGAGTGTTCCTCCCCACACAGCTGGGAGGCATTGTTAGCAGGACACATGGATATTCCTCGGTAGCACAGCCAGTGAACTCGGTGCGTGGCACATGCCTGTAATTCGGCGCTGGAGGCGAGGTTGGTGGATCAAGTGCAGACTAATCTCAATCTGTCCCATCTCTATTTGATAGATTGTTGCCCCCTCGCACATGTGGGTTTTCTCTGGGTGCTCTGGGTTCCTCCCACATGTATAAACACTTGTTATTAATTTGCTTAAAACATTTTAATCTATGCGCCTCCATGTGTCACGGATTGCGCAGCATCATGTGATGTATTTACATGATTGACTGGACTATATGAAAATTAATTCTTACTAGAGTTATTGATTCGTTATCGGTAACCTGCATTTTTATATCGATAATTTTTGGAAGCTGCCCTATTCTGGGTTATTTAAAGCGGTTGCTAATTCACTATCGATGTTTTTTATTGGAAGATCTTCCTACAGATGGCCGCACGATAAGGATTTCCAGCTTTTAATTTCTACACAGCGCTTAAATGCCTGCAGCACTTGACCATCATAATTAGTATTTGCACAGTGTGCACCGTGATGGAGAATCATGTGCAAATATCATGTAATACAAACTCCCACCCCTTCACGGATATTTTTTGTCAGTCCAATATTTGTTGAACATGCTGATAAGACCCCCAAAACTGGTCCAGGGTTTTGCTCTTTAAACCAGCGTGGCCGTTAAGCAAGCGTCCAGTCACCAAATGCACAAAAAACCCCAACACAATAAATCTGGTCTGAGCTTAATTCGGATAAATTCCAACTGAGAACTAAACTATATCAGTGTGACTGTCATGCTATGTACCTCGCTCTCTTGTACAGAGCGATTGGGACCAGAGGTCTCAGAGGTCTCAGAGGTGGCTCTGTGGTAGCCGCCTCCACGGGCCGTTCTCCAACACAAAGGGTCGCACTGCTGTGGGAGAAATATGAATGGCTTCTTTGGACGTGACACTGATAGCCAAGTCAGGATATATACTTTTCTATACTTTGTACTCCCATCATGTTTTTGTATTGGTTGTCGTTGTAACGTTCTGACCCGCCCATACTGGACATCTGTGAAAAAAGAGCTCTGTAGCTCATCGGATTCCTCCAGCCTCAATAAATATTCTGATTCTGATGAGCATAATATATTTATTGGGAGTGTGGGCGGAAAAGGAAAAAAAGAACCCGAGTGCGCTAGGCCTGGGCCGACGATGCCAGGTTCCGCGTTTTTGTCTGCAAGAGCCACGGAGTTTGTGCAGGTCGGTTCCCATCACCCACCGCTCCTCGCAAAGGGGGATGAGGTTGATCACTAGGAAGGTTACTTTTTAACAAAGGTTAACATAGCCTGCGGTTGAAGTCATGTTTATCTAAGTTAACTCTGCCTGTGCGTTTAATGCCACTGGGAAGTTAAACTTGAGGTCGCACGGCGGAACGTTTCTCTGCGAGCACCTCGGAAATTGCAGCACGGATCAGGGAGTGAGACCAGGCACCGGATTCTGGGATCAGTTTCGGCAGGGCCGGGTTGATACGGCATCAGACATCGAATGATGTATGTGTGTATGTTGAACTTCTTTCGCACTGTACGTAGCCAAGCCGCACTATTTGGAGGTGTGGGGGAAGGACAACAAACTATTTACAAAAAGCAGTTCTAAAGAAATGAGTTGTCAATCTCGATTTAAAAATGCATGGCTCAGTGGCTTCCTAAGATTTGAAGGAACATAATTCCAGGCGGCCACAGAAGCGCATCTGAAAGCGCGCGATCCAGTGACCATCTTTTTTGATGGCTAGCCAAAAGCCGCTGCGAGGATGACCGGGGCTCGCGTGACAGTTTATGCTCCTTGACGAGATCAGCAAGGTATTGTTTGTTAATTTGTTGCAAGCACTTTGTGTCATGAGTGCGACCTTATAAAGTATTCATTTGGCAACCGGAAGCCCGTGCAGCTCGGCGAGCACTGGATCCGTCCATGGTCAGATCTTGCGGTCAGTGGGTCTTCTTCATCGCACATTGATGTGCTGTAAAGAAGCTCATTGATGTGCTATTAAGAAAGGCTCCCCTTCGTCCCCAGCGATTCACAAATCACTGTCCTGGTTTGGATTCAATAATTAATTATTTTTGTCTTTTGTGTATGTTCCTTGTTTGTCCTGTCCCATTTGTACAGTTAGTGTTGTTCACTCCATTAGCATGCTTCATGAGATTATCATTTGCATGTTGTTTGCATAAAATCATAAATGATTGTTGCATCATTACATCCCGAGCCAGTGGCTATATAAATGGTGTAATAAAAATCCGTAATTCCTCTATCAGCTCTGCACAAGGCCTGTTGCCCGAAACATATCACTACCAATGGTGATAGAGATTTTTTATTTTCGGCCTGTGTTTGCTCACCGCTGCCAAAAGAGTCCCTGAAACGTTATGTCCGTGATTTATATGGAATTATCTGTGTGACCCAGTGTCGTCGGGGTCATGATAACACCCGTTAAGCCTGTTGCCAAGGCAAGCCATTATTGTATGGTCACAAAACCTGGCAGCCTGAAGCACCAACTCAACTCATTATTCCTGCGGCAGTTGCTGGAGTCCTTGTAAGAGGCAGGTGTTGTGAGGCCCTGAAGCGGCAGAAGGGGGGGGGGGCGGCATCGCTTCGCCTGGAATGACCTCGGGGCCGTTTGACGGTCGTAGACCGCGTCTCTGCAGCGGGCTGATGATTTTTCATTGAAATCTACTTAACAAGGGATAGCGGGCGCCGTGCAGAATCGATACTCGCGTGCATTGTGCGCTGACTCGCGGCGCAAGCCGCTTTAAAATAGATCTCTGGCAGGTTGGCTGTTGGTTTACAAAGGCATGTTCATACCGGTATTAATCTGAGCCCAGCGGATTATCTTGCTGATCGTTTCCGCAGATATTTGTTGGTGGCAGATTTCGCGAATGGTCAAGTCTGTCCGGTAATACATTAATAAAAATAGATTTATCTTCTGCCTTGTTAAGAGTTTTAGTGCATTCCTCCATTGTGTGTGGGCTCTTTCCGTGCACCCTGGTTTCCATCCACACTAAGTACGAATTATTTTAATCTTCCTCCGTTATATTTCTCTTGTTGTTGATGTCTCGTCAACACAAAAACATCTCCATGCTATGGCTGTTTTATGCGCACGGCAATACGTATCTTGTAGTCCTGAGAGCTAGAAGTATTCCAAAATTAACCAAAAACTACATTTAATATGTATTAATGTACAATCATTTCTAAGGTAGCTGAGACCATTAACTCGCTAACCTTGGGAGCCTGGTTTAAGCTCACGAGTCATCTATCCACCTCTGAACAATCATCCTTGGGGCTCGGTGAGGCTTTCGTGGGAACAAATTACGGCTCGATTAATTGGAATAACTTCTGCTGCACACCGGGGCAGAGCGGTGGCGTAGTGGTTCATGCAATCCGAGTTCAATTCCCAGCCACAACTGACATTGGTGGCGAGCGATAGCTGAACCGGATTGTAACGTCCCCTTCACCGACCCTCGCTGACCAGCGTGGTGAAGTATGCTCAAACAACCCCCATCACAGGCTCGGCGTGGAGAGGCCTTAGTCCAGCAGTGGATTGACAAAGCTGATGTTAATTCGTTGGGGACAGACACTGCTAATGCTGTAGATGCCAATCGGTAAGCAATTTTGAGTTAAATCTAAAAACTTACCTTTTTAAACTTTTATAGTGTTACTTTTTTCATATGCCTTCGATAGCAATTTATTATAATGCTATTTAGTTTTGTACGGAAATTGCTTTTGTTCGTGCGATTTAGTCTTTTAACAATATTTTCTTTTATCTGTACAGCACTTTGAATTGCATCTTTTGCACGAAATAGTGCTATAGAAATAAAGACTTGATTGATTGATAAAAAGTGGGCTTTACCTGGTAAGGTAAAAGTAGTAAGTATTATTTGTATATTTTTTTGTATTGTTCCTTGTTGTAATGTTATGATTCGCCCATACTGGACGGCTTTAAAAAAGAGCTTTACAGCTCATCTGATTCCTTTGGTATAAATATTCTAAAACACATGACCCTGTCATTTTGTTTTTACTTCTGCCGGAACCTTCGGATGATATATCCCCGTGAATGAGATGGCACCCACTGGCCGTCACCACCGTTTTTCTGAGTCTCCCATTCCCGTTTGTCTCCCCTCCTCCTCCTGTGTCCGCAGCAAGCACGTGCCGAGCAGGAGGAGGAGTTCATCAGCAATACGCTCTTCAAGAAGATCCAAGCGCTCAAGAAGGAGAAGGAGACGCTGGCCATGAACTACGAGCAGGAGGAGGAGTTCCTGACCAACGAGCTCTCGCGCAAACTCATGCAGGTGTGGTGGGGCGCCCCTTCGCTCGGCCGCGTTCCGTCGCCGTGGAAGACACGGCTTGCAATTTACCAGGGAGTTTGCGTCAAACTAACCACCCGTATCTAACAGGGAGGGTCCTGGCCCTTAAGCATCTGGGGGTTCGCCAGCATTGGTTCGAGCGAGCCGGACGTTTTTTCGCTGGAACTAAAGCTCGATGGGTACATGCGTCCCTCTGTGTGCCCATGTGTCACTGTATATGCACGTGTTACTCTGTGTGTATCCACATGTCACTGTGTATATGCACGTGTTACTCTGTGTGTATCCATGTTTCACTGTGTATATGCATGTGTCACACCACCCTGTCAGTGTGCCGTGTCGGCCATAATGGGTGCTCGCCAACAGGACTTGCCCTAATAGTCTGTCAAAGACAATACGGGGGATCTTTGCCTGTTGTATGTGTGTGTGAACATGCTGCACACTCGCAGTTGAGGCAGGAGAAAGCCGAACTGGAGCAGACCCTGGAGCAGGAGCAAGAGTTCCAGATCAACAAGCTGATGAAGAAGATCCGCAAGCTGGAGAGCGAGACACTCACCAAGCAGCAGACCCTGGAGCAGGTACCCCCCCACTCCCCGCCTGTATCCCCCCTACCCTCTCCATCCCCCCCCCCTGCTACCATAGACTCTGCCCCATTATACAGCAGCATCTTTCTGTGGTTACCAACCATGGTGCACGCAGTGTTCACCGGCTTAATTTACGAATGGAAAAGATTGGTGAACACCTCCGTGAGCGCCTTTTTACTGCAGCCCTCATCGCTTTGCCTTGGCAGCTCCTGGCTTTGTCTCCTGAATGCACCCAGAGTGAGATTTTGACTACGGTGAAAAATCATCTCGTGTTGCCGCCCCTCACTTTTGGAACGAGCTCACTTCCTGGTATCGCTCATCGGATTTATCCACGATAAATAAAGATTCTACCTGGTAAAATAAAAATAGTTAAATAGTTCTGCGGCAGACACCACACAAGGCGCCCCCCCCACCATGTTGGTTTGACGGCGTTTGCTCTCTCTGTGCGTGTGTGGCTGGAAAAGTTGCGGCGCGAGAAGATCGATCTGGAGAACACGTTGGAGCAGGAGCAGGAGGCCCTGGTGAACCGGCTGTGGAAGCGCATGGATCGCTTGGAGGCTGAGAAGCGGTGAGTGGTCACGCGGTCAGCGTCGTCGTCGTCGTTATCACATCGTCCAGCGAGTTACCGTACCCAGCGATGCGATGGATCATCGCGATGTGGGACTGCGATTCCTGTTAAAGTTAAGATCCTTGTTAAAAAAATTTGTTCTTTTTTTCATTGTGCTCCATTAACCCTCGTCATAAATCCTACTTTCGTTAATGCTCACACCCCAGTGGCAGCGCTCGCAGCGAGTGACTGCGCTCACTGCGAGCGACGGGGCTCGCCGTGGCGATGCTCGCGGCGCTCGCCGTGACGATGCTCGCGGCGGCGATGTTCGCGGCGATGCTAGCGACTCTCGCTGCAATCCCCCAGGATCCTGCAGGAGAAGCTGGAGCAGCCTGTGTCAGCTCCGCCGTCCCCGCAGGAGGTCTCCATGGAGACGTCGGAGACCCCCGAGAACCTGATGCGCCACATCCGCTTCCTGCGGCACGAGGTGGACCGCCTCAAGAAACAGCTGAGGGCCAACCAGGTGCAACGTACGTACCACCGACGAACACGCCCAACCTGGGCCAACCAACGCGGGCGCACATGCGCCGCCAAACGTTCAGACCAGTGATACAACACCACGGTAGACGTTTACCCGCCCAGCCCTCTTGTCAGTCCACTGCTGGTTGAGAGTCCCCTCTCCGCGCCATGCAGCTGGTGGCAGTTAGTTCACTGTCACCTCACGTCTCTTTAACCGCATTGTACTCATTTGTGTGTTTATTCGTAACGTTATTGGTGGTGAGATGGTGACTCTCTCACCTGATATGCAGCCTGGTCGGGGGTTTTATCCCAAACCTGACGATGCGTGTTTATTTGGAGTTTACATATTCTCCAGGTCCTCTGCTTTTTCGCTCCACATTTAGAAACATGCATTTAGATTATTTGGCTGCTATAAATTCCCACAAGCTAAACCACTTCCTTGAGCTATCATTTGTGGCCAGGTTGCTTCTGAAAAAGAATCTATATAGCTCAGTGGGCCTTATCTTGAAAAATTAAAAATAATTTAGTTTCATCATTTAGTTTATATCGATCTCTGGGTGTCTGGTTGACACCTTAAACCTTATCGCGCACGAGATATAATGACGCATGGAGCGTAGTAAATGGTGCATAATTGCTGAGTGTGCAGGCGGTGCAATCGCACCGGGGCCTATGGGCTGGAGGGGCCCAAGCGCCAGGTCACAAAGTGGGCAGATGGGGGGGGCGGTTGCCCATTTCATTCCAGGGCCCATGCCAACCACGCTTATATGCCAGTCATGGTGTGTAAGCTACGCAATATGCCAGTCATTCTGTAGTGAGTCCAACTGAGTCGCAGACGTTGTTCCTTTTAGAGGCAACACTTTTATTTGTAACACAAAGGGGCAACTGCCCCTTCGCCAGATACAGCCTAGGGTTGTGACCACCCAGCTAACTACCCTATACAGAGGAGTTACTGCTACGAAGGGTGGGGCCCTCACTCGGGTCCGCGACTACGTGTTGATGCCTCGTAGGACGTAGAGCTTCCAGCTTGAGACGTAGAGCTTCCAGCTTGAGACGTAGAGCTTCCAGCTTGAGACGTAGAGCTTCCAGCTTGAGACGTAGAGCTTCCAGCTTGTAGAATGCAGCGACCCAGGTCCTTCTCAGGGACCCGCCTTATATCCCCCCACGGGTTGGGACCGCTCCGCCCCTGGCCCCGTCCGCCTTCTTGAGCCTTCTAGCTCCCCCTCGATCCCTCTCGAGAGCTCTCCCCTGGACACGTGATCACCCCCTAGTCCCCCCACCTGGGGGCTTCTCTGTGGACACTCCGGATCACGTGTCTGCAGGGTCAACCAGAGTGCCATGGCCCGAGGCAACCCTGTCCTTGGGCTGACACTCTCCCGCTTTCCCTTGTGGGAGACCGCACTGCACGCTATGCGTCGTGCCTGCGCTATCCCAGCGCTCACCCAGCCCCGCTAGGGCTGGTACTACACCCACCACGGGGTGTACGCGATGGAAATGCATGGCACGCCACGGCCCTTACAGTGACATCCCCGATGTCACTACAATTCTATCCCAGCCACACGATGCCAGCCACACGATGCCAGTCACACGATGCAAGGCACGCTATGCCAGTGACAAGAAAGCTATTTGAGGTTAAGCGCTCCGAACCCCACGGCCCCGAGTTCATTTCCTGCTCACGGCCAACACCAGTGATGATTGAGCCTCAATTGAGTAACTGGTGCAGTGTGTAAACATCGCCGGGCGTGGTGCTGGCCACCCACCCCTCGTGTACTGTGATGGCCTTCATAGCTGCTCGCTAACAGCACTTACCCCAACAGTCTGTTAAGGTTATACGGGGGATCTTTGCCTTTGTTTAGTACGTGCGTACGTGTGCGTGCATCATGTGCATAGTGTTCGCGTATACGTCCGTGTGTACGTCGGCATGCAGACTCGGAGAAGATGGCGCAGTACCTGGAGGAAGAGCGCCACATGCGAGAGGAAAACCTGCGTCTCCAGCGCAAGCTGCAGCGCGAGATGGAACGGCGCGAGGCGCTGTGCCGCCAGCTCTCCGAGAGCGAGTCCAGCCTGGAGATGGACGACGAGAGGTGCAGGGGGGCGAGCGTCGTGTGATGAGCCACCACCCCTGCTAAACAGTTTTCAACTCTAGATCATCACCTTCAAATTGATACACCCCAAAATATGTTGTTCGTGTGAGGTTCGCTAACTTTTTGCCTTGCCCAACAACAGATAAAATGTCTCCATGTGCGCGTGTGCCGCGCGTGTGCCGCGCGTGTGCCGCGCGTGTGCCCAGCACGTGCCGTGCTCGTTCACGCTCGTTCACGCACGTGCCGTGCTCGTGCCCAGCACGTGCCGCGCTCGTGCAATGTAGAGCAGGCATCTCGCCATGCAGTTACCCGGCTGGCTTTGCTCCGCCTTCCATCATGAATCATCGCACACATCACCTAGAATGTGTGCCCCATTACGTCAGACCTCAGAAGCTAAGTTGTGGTTTAGGCTGTTGAGTATTTAAATGGTTTTGTGCAGGTGCATGAGGTAATGCAGGTTACTGTGGGGCTACGTGTCGGTGTAGCCACATCCATTATTCTACTGCTGCTATATGCTTTCACATCTATGCTCCCCATCATCACCAACCCACACTGATTAGCATGGCGATGTATTGTCAAACAACTCCTTACGATCCACATGGCTCAGGGAGACCTTCCTACAGCAGTGGATTGAGCAATGAGGCTGGTCCGGTGAGCCCTGGCCTGAATGCAGTTGAGCAGTGGTGGCCAATACACCAATTCTTGGTTCTTTCGGTAAAGTCACGTAAATAGAAAAAAAAATCTAAAAAATGTTTTTTTTATAAAATTAAAATAATACAAATAAAATAGAAATAATAAATTGAAAATAATAGAAGCAAAAAACCCACGACGTTTCGGTCGCAACACAAGCGGTCTTTTTTGTTTTTCTATTTACGTGACTTCACCGAAAGAACCAAAATCTATTCTAATGGCTTTCAACGGGCTCCACCATCCGCCAAGAAGCGAGCACCAACATTTACCCGGATGTAACCCTGTAATATACTGCGGACAAATTACTAGTGCCATCTATTGGTAGAAGTTATCATTGTTTGAATGTGTAAAGTCTTTGTTGGGGATTTTTTTGTTGCCATCAGCCATGACGAAAATTGTTGTCCGCTTATGTCAGTGTTCGTTCTGTCCCGGGATTAACAAACATATTTTGCGATCATCCACCCGTGGATTGCGATCCACGTGTTGGCCAAGTGACACAACACACTGTTGAGGCAAGTGCTGTTAGTGAGCAGCACCTATAAAGGCCTGCATGGCACACAAAGTGGTGGGTGGCCATCACCACATGTGACACACGCACAGGGACCCGTAACTGGCACTGCACTGGGGAAGTAGTGGCAAAGCCATTGCCGAGAGATGCCACCCGCTCGCTTGCTCGCTTGTTCGTTACGCGGCTGCCACTAACTACCGCTTAATGCGGTGGTGGCGGTGCTCGCGTGACCACGTCTGACAGACACTTCAACGAGCTGGCTTCGCAGGGCATCCGCCCCCGCACCGTGAGCAGCCCTGTGCCCTATGCGTCGTCGCCCAGCCACAGCCGGCCCATCTCTCCCGGTGAGAAGCGCTCGTCCCCGCGTGCTCGCTCGGTGCCCCCTTTCGTCTGCGGCGTACCGATAGATAACGCACACCCGGTGTGTCAACGCGCGCTCAGAAGTCGCTCGCACCATGGTTCCCGGCAACTGTAAAATGATAACTCCCTCGCCTGGTATACAGGAGGTCGTGGGTTCGATCCCGACCCTGATGCCTGCTGTCTATTTGTAGTTTGCATGTTCTCCCCGTGGTCAAGTAGATTTTTGTCCAGGTCCTCCGGTTTTCCCCTCCACATGGAAACACGCTTTTAGAGTATTTGGCCGCTATAAATTCCCATGTGATGAGCAATTTGTGGCCAGGTGGCTTCTGCAAAAGAGCTGCATAGCTCGGTTTAGTTTTATTATCACCAGGCATGGCCAAACCACTGATGGATGAAGGCCTCTGCACAGGAGCTGATCTCCTAGCTCCATCTCCTCGGCGGGTGTCCTCTCACATGCATTCTCCTTTTTGCAGATAGTTTTATGAACGTCAAGCAAACTAATTGGCAAAGTATTATTGGAATACCAACTATGTTTCGTGTAACCAGTGCTGTTTGTCACCAATTAAATTATTTCAAGCGTACACATTGACACCATTTCAGCTCACATGTGCGGTGGAAGGGTCAAACACCATCCCGTGACTGTATACGACATGGAATGGAGCGGTGATGCAGCGGTTAGTGCACCGAGCTATAAATCCGGAGGCTTTGGGTTTGATTCCCGGCCATGGCTAACATCAGTGGTGAGTGGTATCTGAACTGGTCTTGGGTGCCCCCTCCACCAACCTGCACTGACCAGCATGGTGAAGCATGGGCAAGTGATCCTCGTAACAGACACCGCATAGTGGGAAGGAAGCCCTTATTCAGAAGTAGGTTGACAATGTGCCGTGAAATATCCCTGTTGTTTTATACACAGCACTTTCAAAATGTCAAGCACCAATATATAACCCATTGACGCATCTATGACTTTAATAATGCCGAAACAAGTAGAGACACACACAAGGTTGTGTTCATGACCTGCTGCCTCTGGCTAAACAGTTTCTAAAACTCTCGCAAAAACGTACGTGCCATTGGGATGTTTTTGAAAGTTTTATGGAACTGCCCAATAACAACTACTATTTCTCCGTGCATGCTTGTGCCTGTGTGTACGTGTTTGTACGTGCCTCTGTGTGTGTCGGTATGTGCCTGTGTGTGTCGCTTGTGTGTGTCGGTACGTACCTGTGTGTGTCTGTACGTGCCTGTGTGTGTCTCTTGTGTGTGCCTGTCTGTACGTGTCGGTACGTACCTGTGTGTGTCTGTATGCGTCTGTGTGCTGGTGCCGTGTGGAGCAGGCATCTCGCTGTGCAGCCACCCGGCCGGCTTCACTCCACCCTCCACGCTCAGCCGCTCCACGCCGCCCGCCCACCACCTCCCACCCGGCCTGCACGGCCCCACGGGCCAGGGCATGCCTGTATGTAAACACACACACACACACGATCGCGCATGTACAGAGCAAGACAGAGACCCCCCCATATAGCCTCCACAGACTGCTGGGCCAAGTGCCTGCTAATGAGCACCTATGAAGGCCAGCACCGCGCATTGTCTCCCGAGTGCTGATGTTTACACATCGCAACAGTGGCAGAGTTGACCTCGGGGGTGCCCGAATCCAGTCAAATATTCATCACAAGTATTATTTGGCCGTGAGCGGAAATCAAACTCGAGTTGCTGGGTTAGAGGCGCAGTATGCCAACCACCGCTTCCCACACGCACAAAGACAAACGCACGTGCATTATAGCAAGGGCGGTTGCACGTTGTTGAATGTACGTGTCAGACACTTTAAGGATGTGGGTCAGCATTCATTCAATGAAGTTGCTCCTTCTGCTCCCATGATGTGGAGCTCCTTGCCCCCAGCCATCTGTGCTGTTGGCTCCCGGAGGTTTCTCCTCTGCCCACTCTTTGCACCGCATCTGCAGTACATCTCCTTCATGAATATAAAATTAAAGACAAGCTGTTGTGATTGTGACCATGCAACACAAACTGAACTAAAGGAGGAGGAAGAATAGCAAAACTACACAAAGTCTCTCCCGAAGCCATCATTGGCCTTTAGCTCCTGACCATATTGGCTAAAGCAAAAATAGAAGTACATTAGGATGCTCTATTAAAAAATTGCATTGTAGTGGTGGTGTAATTTTCCTTGGGCGTGATACATCACCCAATTAGGCCTGTGATTTAGACGCGACAGTTCATCATTCATCCTTAATAAGGGAGGAGAAAGTCTTACAGAATACCGTGGTGGTGGTTTCAGACGTACTCGGACGGACCTCGCGTTTCATCCACGTGGTGGCGATGATGCATTCCGTTTTGTCTGCACGTCAAACCATCGATCTTACTCTCCCAAGAGCCACACTTCATGAATCTATAAATAATTATCTTTAAATTGACATTACGCACATATTACCAGGATGTTGTGAATTTGTAGAAATGCCCAATAATATACACACTTGTTTATAAATGTTTGCGTAACCCGAACACAATGTTTGAAATCCATCTCCTTAACTCCTGGTGGTGGTGCGTGCTTGCGATGCAACACAAGAATTGCTCCACGCTGTGAGGTGGTCAGGAAAGGTTTGTGAACCCGAGTGAGTCCTGTGCGTGGAGTTGCTCAGGGTACTCCTCCCACACGCATAACGCTATTCGAAAAGGAGCTATCTAAGCATTCCAGGGGAGGTCCCTCCTGAAATTGAGACTGTATCTTGGAAATAGGAATAACATTGTTACAGCTATTGTAAAGAGATTGAGCGATGAAATTGGCTCGTTCAGGTGCCAAACAAAATGTTGCATCACAAAACCTTGAAAGATGGCGATGGCTCGAAGAGGCCTTCATCCAGCAGTGGATTTATCATGGCCAATAATGATGATTAATAATAGATTAATAATAGTTCTCATCACAGCTCGTTCAGTATCGTATCAACTAATGAGTGCCAGTTCACTGATCATCACCCTCTCACCTCTCCGTACCCTTCCACCAATAACCCTCGACCCCTGTGAACCCATCCACCCTCTCCCTTTGACCTCGTGACTCGATGGACCGCAGCGCCCGTCTCCGAAACGCGGGAGCAGCCCCGACCGCTTCAAGCGCCCGACTCCGCCGCCATCGCCCAACACCTCGAGCAGCAGCAGCCAGGCGCCGCCACCCCCGCCGCCCCAGCAGTGAAGCCGCCCCCGGCGAGCTGCACGGCCCTTTCTCCGGCCACCGCAACCACAACTCCCACCACTCCCATCGCTCTCGCCGCTGCCGCTCCCAAAACGCCGATTTCCGGAATGGAGTGGCTTCACCAGCGGCTGCGGTGCCGCCACGTTTTGGTTCGGAGTTTCCAGGTTGCGTGCGGTGGGTTAGCGATCGATCTTTCACCGTTTTCCTTTTGCGTTGTTTCTTTTTTTGTCGCCGTTATCCGCGTGTGATTTTCTTTGGCCGCTCTCGAACCGTAACTGTTTAGTTTTGGGGCTGGCGAAGTCTCGTGGCAGCGTCCGCGTAGATTATAGCGGCTCGCACCGGTCAGCACCACCACCTCTGCTTGTAGCGCGAGCGGGTTCCTTCTAGGCAAGCAAGGATGCGGCCTAGTGCCGCCCCCTGTATCGCTCGGCCCGGCTGGAGCCTGACTCTAGGCCTTGCTTCAGGCGTTCCCCAACACGTCCCGTCAACCGTCCTATTTGCTGCTTGCACTGTGACACGTGTGTGGCTTGATTTTGTTTTCATTTTCTCTTTTGGCTGTCGAATAAGCATGTCTAACATAATCATTTTTGTACATGGTTTTTTGTTTTAACAGACGTGATAGTCCGTCGGTGAAACATTAGGGGGCGTGGTTTTTGTGAGCAGCGTTGTGCGTGTTAGCTCTTCATCTCAGCGTGATTCGTGTAATTCCGTTTGACCTGTTGAACGTAAATGTGATCGTGTTAAGCAGCGAAAAACAAAAATTCAATGCTTTATTTGCCTAATCAGTGGAGTGAGTCGTTGAATGTACACTATCTGAGCACTAACCGTCAGACTAGGAAAACCCGCAAAGGGACAGTATGAAGAAAACACGCTCGAGGTTTAAACTTCCCGTAGAGAATCATTGTTTTTGGAAACCCAGTGCTTCTGTGTACTGCATGCCAACCATACAGAGGAGTTGGGCAAGAACCCCTTGTGATGCGACCTCTTGCAAGCGAGACCTGAGAAACCCAACTCACTCTTTTCCATGATGCTATATCCGTAGATAATTTTTAAAGCGCGGTTATCGGGCTGCGGCACACAATGATCAACAATTTGCGGACGATGTCACAGGGTCTCTCTTGCACACTTTACGGCAGACGGCGCACTTTGGGAACGTTAATGCCCCACCACGCTGTGTGGATGCGGGAACCGGCGACGCCACTGCTACCGTCCCCGGTGGCGAAGTACGCCCACCGCTAAGCCACCCAGCGGATGCCAAAAATCCTTCCCCCTCTGTCCCGGTTAAACTCTTTAGACTGTCCAGGATTGTGAGCAACCGCTGTGGACAAGGGGATGGTCTGCCCATTTCACTTTCCTGTTTTGTCGAAGAAACGTCCACCTTCGCCGCACTTGGGGGACACAGAAACTCTGGCAGTCATTCGCACTACAATTGACCTTGCTAGGGTCAGCGGGGGTGACCCAGGGACAAAAATGGGGCATGCGGGGGTGGGGAGGGGGGTCACTGGAACTTGTAACTGGCGCCAAATAAATTGGGGTGTGGAAAATCCTCAAGTCATCGCCGTGGCCCCCCAAAAAGACGAGTGGAGCGTGTTTGTGTTTACGAGCGGCCATCTGGAACGCTTGTAGGTGACTTGCGCAGGTGGCCGCTTCGTAGCAGCTGTGGGAAGGGACCTTGCTTGAAAGTAGAGCTTCTAAAAATCTCGAGGCCTGCCTGCGTCCGATATTTTCACGAAGCGCGCGTTCCGGAGAGCTCGCGTTCACTTGTTTACACTGCTGCTGCCGTTATTGTTTACAGAAAAATAACGTGGTTTGGTATTTGAGAAGTGATGGCCGTTTTTTTTCCCGTCTTTCCCTGAATGAAATGTAATGACCCGACACTCTGGCCAATGGTTTAACAGAAGACAGCTCGTCAAATGAGAATAATCTTTCGTTCGAGTCTAGCTGTCGCGAAAGCGGCAACAATTTGTGGTGGACAGCTTAGAGGTTTCTTTTGTGTGTGCTCGCGATTCTAAAAAACGTTTTCTCCCAAGTATTATTACTTGTTAATTCTTTAGTATTAGTACGAAGCAGAGCATTCTCGCATAACGGTGTTTTTTAAGACAGGAATAAATATACAATAGCAAACGGAAACCATGATTTTTCCCTAAGAGTGCAAACGGCCTTTTGTTCAGCTGCAGCAAATGTCGGACGCAGGTGTGACAAAATAGATTTATCTCGTCTTTTGCGAATGAATGTTGTGATTAAAAGCCTTGCACCTAGTTTCCACGATGTCCTGACGCTTTGGTGAAGCCAGTGTTGGTGTTGCGAGCCGTCATTCCCACGCGGCTCTCGGGACGCGCCTCGCCAATGTTGCATAAACCACCGTGAGTCGAGGCTTTCATTTAGAATGGGGGGGGGGGGGACAAAATCGCGGGAGCGCGTTACGGGAACCCCCGGCTTCCAGCGTACGACGCATTGTTACCCGCGGGCCGCGGCAATGGCACAAAGACGGCGGTGGTTGTGTCGACAGACCAAATTGAGGGCGCGCGCCCCATCTCGCGTGCGTGCATTGCCACACGCCGCACGCATCGCGGTGCAAGCTTTGCTCTGCCCCTCGGGCGTACGGAAGTCTCCCCCGTGACCGCGGGCTGCGGAGCACCTGGCTTAACTCGCGCCGCGCGTCGTCTGCGCCGGTACGTCTCGCTCGGACACCGGGAGCCCGGGTTTCTTTGCTTTCGACCCCCGGAGGCGCGGGGTGGCGGCGATTGCGAGTGAGTGAGCCTCATCCCGTCGGGAATGCCTCGTTCTACCCAGACGGCAGCTCGTGTTACCTCCTCCGTTAACGATGGTCCCGTGTGCATGCACGCTCCCCCAAGACCTCGTCCGCCGCGCTCACTTCATCGCTTTCGTCTCCCGTTTTTTAGCTTTGCGCTTGTTTGCGCCATGTGCTGTTGCCTAAGCCTGCTGTAGCGGCATGCGGGGTCGTGTGTTGGTGGGCCAGCGGGGAGGAGGACGGGTATTTCCCGTTGTTTCTGTCACAGCTCCTGTCGATGAGGTTGAAGGAGAAGGCAGTTGTAAAGAGAGCGAAAATAGATAATTAAAGTTGGTTTATATATCGGAGGCAAGGGGCCTTTAATCCCGCTGTTACGTTGATTTTTGACAAAGTATGGGCAATCTGGCCGAAATGTATTGGCAACTTTGGCTCATTTATGTGAAGTCTGGATAGGAGCTGCCTTTGTGCTAAAAAAAATGATTGGATGAAACATCCTTTACATCAGCGCAATGTGGCATCAAGATTTACTTTAATCCATTTGCCCTTGTTTGAAAAATAGTCGAGTTAATTTAGTGTGTGCGGGTTAATCTCATGAGCCTGAATAAAAAAAAAATCGTCAAAATATTTGTACTTTATTTAGTTGTATTGTGTTTGGATTTTCTGCAGATCAAGTCCTTGGCAAGTCGAGCTTGTAACGAACGGTGGAGTCCGAGTGACTAGCAGAGTCTCCAGGAGGAGGTCGCTGGTTGTGTGGGCCATAGAGTTGGAACAATAAGAGTAATTGAGTACGTTTGGTATTGGCGCTTTCAGTCTTATAGCGCAGGGCTTTTACAGAGGAAGGTTCTGTGTTTCACAGGCACAGTCTGAAGATGTTTCATAACCGGGGATGATATGTAATCCCAAATGAGTAATTTCCAGTGTCACTTTCTCTACGTCCATGCCACCATCCACTGGATCACTTTGTTAACCTTAACGATCAATCGTTAGGGTTGTGGAACGTGATGCAGAGTGTTTTGTGCCCACCTGTGCCACCATACCCCCCCTGTCCCACTACCCATGATCCTCGCTGATTTGTCTGCATCTCGGAGCGAGCTGCAGGCAAGAGTCTTAGTCGCCAGCCAGAAGTAAAATTAATTCATTTCATGCACACAAGAGCCTCCAGACATGCAACACACTGTCACATTGATGTCTTGCTTTTTCTTTGATCGTGGCGTTCTTATTGTAGTCGTTTTCTTCTTCAAATAATCAAATATAGCTGACGTGTTGAATACAGCATACCTCGCGATTTCCTGTACAACTAATAATCCCGAATGGCACCCAAAGCAGTTGCTTCGGCGTTGTATAATATGAGATTGAAATCCCCAGCGCCGACTCCCACGTTTTACACGTCTCGCAGTCGAGCACGACATCGGGGAGCTGTTTCCACACAGCCTCGAATACGGAGATGGTACCCTGGGCCAGACTCCATATGAGACCTCTTCAGTAGGCCCTGCTGCGGCAGTGGGACACAACTTCCGGTAGCCTCAAGCAGCAGGTCAACCGAACCGAGCCAGGCTACCTTGGTGGGCAGCAGAGGCCAATCTTGAGAGGAGGGCCTACCTTTGGGGGGGGGTGACCCTCTTCCAAATGTCATCCTTAAAATGGACACAAGTGCATGGGGTTGGGGGGGGGGGCTCCCTTAGAGGGCATCCCAGTGCAGGGCAGGTGGCTATCGCACACGGAGATGAGCATCAACCTCCTGGAGCTGCGGCCCTTCGTCATGCCCACCCTCGCATTCGGCAGAAAGGGATTCTCATCCGCTGTGACAACACAACCGCAATGGCGATGGTGAACCGCCGGGATTCGCCCATCAGCCCTCCGGTATCGCTCTCTCAATGACGGGAGGCTTGGCAACTCCTGTGTTGGGCGGAGAGGCACCATGGGCCTGTCACCTAGGCCGGGACAAAGAATGTGGTCGCAATACGCGCTAAGCCAATGGTTGCTCGATCTGGCGGAATGGACGTTGCATGTAGAGGTGTCTGACGGTTTGGTTCGTTTGTCATAGACCTCTTTGTGTCGGAGACCAACCATTGTTCTGCAAGCGATTCCTGTTCCCCGCTGCAGTTGCTACTGATGCTGTCAGGGTACCCTGGACCGGAGAAGGTCTCTACGCCTTTCCTCCGTGGTCCCTCATTCCGAAGGCCGTGGCCAAGATAAGGAGGGAAACGGGGCATCCGTGGTGATGATAGCCCTGCATTGGAACAGGCAGCACTTGAACTAAGAAGAGGCCCTCCGTGGCTCCTCTCAGATCGGGGACAATCTGCTTCTGCACTGTGAGGTTTGTTGCCCAAAACGTTTGGCGTTTTCAACTGACTGCCTGGACGTTCAAAGGATAAGATTTACCTGCGAGGGTTTCTCCAAGACTCCCTACTGACAGCAAGGAGAGCCAGCCTCCACAGGCAAGGTTTCTATCAAGCCATTGGAGCTCCGTGTCTTGTTAGTGTGTCAGAGCTGGGCAGGACTCACTTTCACGTGAGATCCCAGCCATTGCCAGTCAATTGCAGGCGGGAGTTTGAGGACAGCAGGTCAGCTGCATCTGTTGAAGTGCGACTGTTGGTAATTTCCGCCTTTGACGATCATGTACACGGCGTACCGGTGGGTCTGCACTGGTGCGGTCTCGGCTCCCGAGGGCTATGGCTCTGGAGAGGCCTGTGCGACCAGCTTTGGTGGCCCCTTGGGATCTCAGGCTTGTGTTGGATGCCCTTGTGCACTCGCCATTCGAGCCAATGACCACGCCGTCTGAACGATAATTACTCTTTACATTAGCTATTTGCCTTGTGGCCATTGCCTCTGCCAGAAGGGTGAGCGAGTTACAGGCTTTTTTGGACTATCTCCCCCTATGTGGATTTCCAGGCTGCCGACCAGGTCATTCTGAGTTGACTGGACAGGCAGAGAGATCTTAACACGTTGGACGTGGCAAGGGCCCTATAATTGTTCATACAAATGTAATAAACGACTTCCACGACGACTCTTGACTGGTGCCTTTTTATTAACATAATTTTTGCACAGCTCCGCTCCAAATATTTCCCCTGCTCACTGCCGTGGACGAGCCGTTCTCTTGGTCCCACTGTCGAGGTTCGCCTCCCTCTCTCTCCGATCCCGCCGCCGTCTGGCGGCGTGCCGGGAGGAGAGGCGAGCTTCGCTGGGGATCCGCCACGTGGTTAATGGCGAGGAGAGGTTGAGCAGCGACGCAGTCCGGACCGAGGCTTCCCACACCGACCTCGAGTCCTCCCCTGCCTCTGCTGATTTTCCTCTCGGCGGAGCTATGCTCCGCCTCTAGCCACGCCCCCTCGTGGAACCTTCGCCATGGTTCCCGAACGTTCCCACTGACTCCGCTAGGTACCTTTGGCCCAGATATATCCCCGCTTAGGATTGGATCACGGTTACCCGATAGTGGCCGTGCAGTTACCCGTTGTCGCCCGCTAGTTAGCGCTCTCTCAGTACACAAAGGAGACAACCGAACTGGCGAGGATGGCCGCCGTTCTGTATGGGAATGCCGTCAGGAGTAATGCGGCCACAGGGTCCGGGTTTCGATTTCTGTTCGACTAAAGTATGTGTTTGTGTTGCATTTGTATGTGTTGGCCAAGAAGGACCCCCCCCCCCCCGATGGTCTGAGAGCCCATTCCACGAGAGCGGTGGCGACATTGTGGGCTAGGGCATTCAACATGGCGTTGGATGCCATTTGCAGGGCAGCGACTTCGAAGTCGCAGCACAAGTTTGTAAGCCACTCCAGGCTGTATACACAGCAGTTATTTCCGCTGCTATTTCAGGAGTGGCCTGCTTGTCCCTTCTCTGTTTAACAACTTTGGTATTGTTGGTAATTATTAAGATTAACGAAGTGACGAATCGACGGTGGCATGGACGCACAGAAAAAAAGGTGTTTGCGTCTTGGTAAAAACTGGTTTCTCTGGTCCACTGGGCTCCCCCTCATATTTTAGTTTCGGCTACTCTTATGATGAGGAGACTTTGTCAGGGGGGTGTATCAAGTTGATGAACTGGTGAGTGATCTGGTCGTTCGGTTCGTGCCCTTACCTTCGTTTTCAGTGGAACATTTTCACTTTACGCTTTGTGGAGTCTTCACTGCACATTTTTCAGTGTCTGACTACTCTCTTCCCGTCCTCTGCTCCACGTGGTTCCTCGTGTTCGCGGAGTGAGGGAATAACAATGTTAGTGTTTTCGCTCTACATAAAAAAAGATTGGCTTTGCTGAAAGTAGAGAGGCTCATGGGTAGCGGGCAGGGGAAGTAAGGTGGCAGGGGCGGGCAATATGTACTCGCCCCAAACATCTGCATCAGGTTACGTGGCCCAAACTGAATTGCTAATTATTAATATGAACTAAGTGGATGGTGGCATGGATCAGAGATATATTTTTTACAAAGGTACAAAACCTTACCTTAAAATGTTGATTATGATGCCGGCACACCTGCTCCTTTCGAATGACATCACGTCCAGTTGGACATATATCCACGCGTGTCACGGTTAATGCAGCAGCAGCAGTATTAAACCGTGCCGGCCTGCCAGATTACAACCGCGGAAGCGCAGCAACGAGCGGCGAAAGCGCCACCGCCGCCCGCCAAGTGCCACGATGGCAACGTTCACAAGCGACTCGGGAACGAGAGCGCACGCGATGAAATCAACGCGGTGCCACGTTCCCGCGCACCGTGCATCGGGACTCGCGGAACGCGGTCGCTGTGGCAGAAACGAGGCCTCCTCTGGGTTTGGAGCCGCGTCACCCTGTGCGCGGATGTGTGCGAGCCTCTCTCTGACGGTTTGTGCTGTCAAGCTGACAAATAAAGTGTTTGTTCTCACAGCAGTCCCCGTCGTTCTCGTCAGCCTTTGTTGCCGCGCGCGTGTGAAGCGGGTTTCTCCCTGACTGCGCCGAGTCTCGTCAGATCCTGTCACGTCTCGAGAGAAAACCGGGGTTGATCCCGGTTCGTGCTTGAATGGGATCGTCATAGTCGGCCATGATCTAGCTACTGCTTAATGAAGGCCTCTCTAAGTCTTTGCCATATAATGGGCCTACGATGAAACCATTACGTCATAAGCACCAGACGCAAACTGATATGATCGCTCCATTTCCACGGGGGATGAACCCTCTGGCATTTTCTCACCATTAGTCTCTACTGACCATCAACCCTTCCAGCGACGCGTTCCTACCCAACTTCACTATTCTCAAACAGTCGAATATGTCATTCCTAATGCACGTGAATCCCTCTTGATATTGCCTGGCTAATACCTGGTGTTGGTGTGGCCAGCTCTGGCAGTGCAGCGGTGGCTTCTTGAACCTCTTGTGCATATGAGAGAAGCTTTGAGCGTGACCTTTGTCTCTCTCCACCTGCTTTCCCCAGGCACTCCGGCTCGCTCTGGCGTGCCCACCAAGTCAGCTCAGTTGTTGGTGGCGCGCCGGCTCCTCGCCGCGTGGCTGCTGCCTTCCAGCTCTCGTCGGCGATTGTGAGGCGTAATTGGCACCAACGACGTCGACGAAATAAAAACAAAACGTCGAAATCTCCGAGCGTTCGCGGAGTTGTGACGTTGTCCGATTGCAACGGACGCGTGAACGGTTAAGGGGCCGTCCATAAATGAC